TCTGTAGCTACACCATTCTCAGTAATGTAAATCTCTGGATCTCCATACTCCTCTTTGATCCAGTTTAGGAGTCTCCTCAGGCCCCATGCTACAGCTCTCTGCTTACTGATGGCAGTAGTTGGTGAATCACCTTCCTCTGCTTCTGACAAATCCCGGTCATATTCATAAGATTGTGGGGTAAGTCTCAAGGTAGCATGACGTGCAATCTTTGTAGTATAGTGATTTACACAGAACATGTCAGCAGTTCCCCTGATGAAGCTCTTTTCTTCCTCAGTGAAGGAAGGTAGTCTTGACTCTGAAAGACCTTGGAGTTCACTTTTGTTTCCAACTTGCCACTTCATTGCGTCAGGATAGTCACCATTCTTGAAAATAGGGTGTGCAAACCAGCCCAGTTGGAACTGAAGAGCGCGGTCAGCAGCCGCCACTTCTCTGGGAACGTTAACATCTTTAGGTTCAATCCAATCAGCATTTAGGGCAATGGATACTAGACCACCTTGGGATTTGCGATACTTATTGTCATATGTGTGGTAGGCCTTGGCGTGAGCTTTTATCAGGTTGTGTGCAACTCTATATGGAGCAAGTCCTGGCTTTTTAACATTTGGTGGAATCTGTCCAAGTCCATATCCTGACCATGCAATTGTGTAAGGCTGGTTGAAGGTGATCCAAAATTTCACTCTGTCTCCAAAGGTGGCGAAGGAGAAGTCACAAAAGTCATTAAAAATGTTAATCATATCTACATTTTCCCATCCACCGAGGGTCTGCAAAGCTTGAGGAAGGTCCCAGTGATAGAGTGTCACCGTGGGTGTAATATTATACGCTACGAGGCCATCAATGAGTCTATTGTAGTAGTCAACACCTCTCTGGTTCAGTGAGGTACGCTGACCATCAGGAAAGATCCTGGACCAGGACAGAGAGAATCTGTAGGACTTCACCCTCAGAGCTCGTAGCATGTAGAGGTCTTCATCAAGTCTGTGGTAGCTGTCACAGGCCACATCTCCACTGGGATTACCAGGAATACTGCCAGGTTTATGGGTGAATGTATCCCAGATGCTGGTCCCCTTCCCATCTGCATTCCAGCCACCTTCAATCTGGTAAGCTGATGACGATACTCCCCAACTGAAGCCTTTTGGGAAGGTACCATAGTGGTAGAGTTTTCTCTGAAATTTGCTTTGTTTTGAGAATTTCCTCCAGACATCCATGGCTTGTGATGGGACGGTGGAGGGTGGCATTGAGGAAACTTTATTTGACCTTATGTTTTTCAGTTCTGGTGCAGGTACCATCAGGCTTTTGGAAGCAAAACCATTTTTCTCAATGACTTGGGAGTAAAAGTAGGCAGATTGCTTTGGAGTCCTGGGTCTGTCAGGCAGGTCAAAGTTGACATGGTGGAGTCCAAAGCGTTCACTGTATCCTTGTGGACCCTCAAAGCCATCCATGAGTGACTGGACAGTAAACTGCTGCACATTTACTCCATCCAAATGTATAGCTGTTGAGAGAACAAAAACATTGAGCCACTAAAACTCATTTAACATGACCTTGTATGACAAGTCTTCAAAAGCTTAAAAGTAGAAAACACACATATAATCAGGTATTTAAAGGGTCCAAGACACAAAGCATACCTTTCAAGGCCTCATTGATGTAACTCCTCATGTACTCTATTCTGCTGGTGTCATTGAAAGTGTCCCCGCTGTGCTCAGTAGGCATCCCATTCCCAGTTATGTGGATAGGCACTTTGGTAACATTCAAGTATTCTGCGGAAATGTAGTTTAGAAGCCTTCGGAGACCCCATGGTGCTGAATATATCCAGTCAGAAGCTGTAGAGGACCATGATGGGTCCACATGTGCCTGGAGGTCACCAACCCCCTGAATACCAGGGGTGCAGCCTCCATCACTCTTGTTGACCAAACGGGAGGTATAGTGGTTTAACCCTAAAAAGTCAGCTGTTCCATGTATCCTCTTTCTCTCTTCAGAAGTGAAAACTGGAAGTCTTGCAGGCTCAGAGTGGGGACACTCTCTTCTTTTCTCTTCAACCTGAGTCTTGAGTGTTGCAGGATAATCTCCATCTACAAATATGGGATGTGCAAACCAGCCCAGCATGAACTGCAGGTAGCGATCTGCAGCTGCTATGTCTTCAGGTCTGGACGGGTCCATGGGCTCAGCCCAGTCAGAGTTCAATGCAATGCCCACTTTCCCTCCTTGTTTCATCCGGTACTTGTCATTGTAGACATGCCAGGCCTCAGCATGGGACTTGAGCAGATTGTGAGTGACCTGAAAAGGCAAAACTACTGAGTGCACCAGAATAACAATGAAACAGTCTATATTTACATTAGAGTAATGATATTACTCTCACCTGATAGGATGCAACCACATAGTCCTTTACTCCAGGGGGGTGTTTGCCAGTGCCATAGCCAGCATGGCTCACCACCCAGGGGCTACTGAATGTGTTCCAGGTCTTGACTCTGTCTCCAAACCTGGAGAAGCAAAAGTCTGCATAGTCCTTGAAGGCTTCAACAATGGAAGTGTTGGTCCATCCACCATAGTCCTGAAGTGCCTGAGGCAGATCCCAGTGGTAGAGAGTGACCACAGGTTGTATGCCAGATTCAATGAGTGCATTGATGAGCTTGTCATAGTAGACAGCCCCTTTTTCTGATTGGCTGCCTCTGTGGCCTGAGGGGAAAATACGAGCCCAGGAGATGGAAAACTGGTAGTTGTTGACATGAAGACCTCTCAGGAGGTAGACATCGTAATCCACCTTGTGGAAACTGTCACAAGCTAGATCAGCTGTCTGATTCACACTGGCCAGGCCTT